ATTTCTGGCTTTCGTTTGGTTTATTGAAACTACCTATTTCCATATTGCCCAAATGACCTCTTAACTCATTTTAGGTCAGGTCAACCATTATTTCCTTCTCCCCCCCCCCCTGCTCCCCTTTCTTATCCTATAAAAGTTTCAACATCCTATTCCTGGAGCTTGTTTCATAACATATACAGTACATTGATTTTAGAGCCACTTTGCAGCCAGTCATGAATCCTGGAGAAAGTAGCTAGTTGCCAAGCTACCAACTTGCAATTATTTTAGTTTCATAACTCGCAGGGTATTTTAAATACAACTCTGGACAATGGGCAAGCATTTTTGCTAATGAAGTTTTATTTTTTTTTACAATCAAGTTTCTCTCAAAGCTTCACTTCGGAGCTATTTCTCAGATTTATTATTATTTGTGCAAACCATCAGACAAATGCATACAAATACATGTACCGAAAAATATGGGTAGAATGTGACGAATTCATTCAATTGTCTTTGGTATGGAAATTAGGTGAGAGATTTTTTTCATATTCTATGGCTGGGGGACTTAAGAGTTTTGTTTGGTCATGGGGGGGGGGAAACAGAGTGAATACTGAGATGACCATAAATCAGTTTCAAATTGCTTTGAGAGGGACAGGGAGTAGAAATCCTAATCCTATGTGGTTAGGCAAGATCTGAAACATGAATTCAGAACCATTTTCCAGTTCAAGCTCTTACTATCAGGAGTTTGAGCTGACTTCATATAAAATGTGAGTCATGAGACAATTCTGCCGAGTGGATCATATTATTTGAGGTCATTCTTAGAAATGGCCTTTGTACAGTATTTCATTAAACATGCAAGCACATTTCAATTGATAGAAGTTCAGTTACTGAGTAAGTAATGCCAGTGTTTACATTATAGCCCATGTATCAGGCTAACCATTTCTGACCATACATCAACCTAACCTTTTCATACCAAAGTTATACCCTGGATGACTGGGAATGCCAATATATTGATGGTGGCAAATTGGGAAAGGATAATTTAATAATGGTAATGATAATAATAATGTTGGAAGGAACCTTGGAGGTCTTCTAGTCCAACCCCCTGCTCAGGCAGGAAACCCTGGCCTATACCATTTCAGACAAATGGCTGTCCAGTCTCTTCTTAAAAACTTCCAGTGTTGGAACATTCACAACTTCTGGAGGCAGGTTGTTCCACTGATTAATTGTTCTGTTGGGAAGTTTCTCCTTAGTTCTAGGTTGCTTCTCTCTTTGATTAGTTTCCACCCGTTGATTCTTGTCCTGCTTTCAGGTGCTTTGGAGAATAGCTTGACTCCCTCTTCTTTGTGGCAGCCCCTGAGATATTGGAATACTGCTATCATGTCACCCCTAGTTCTTCTCTTCATTAAACTAGACATGCCCAGTTCCAGCAACTGTTCCTTATATGTTTTAGCCTCCAGTCCCCTAATCATCTTTGTTGCTCTTCTCTGTACTCTTTCTAGAATCTCAACATCTTTTTTACATCGTGGTGACCAAAACTAGATGCAGTATTCCAAGTGTGGCCTTACCAAGGCATTGTGAAGTGGTATTAACACACATTTCTTTGATTTGTATTCGTTTTATACAGGAGTTATATAAAAGTCTTGGAACAGACCAAGACTTATTACACAATACTGTCTTTAGAGCCCAGTTTTCCAGTCTTCAGAAGCAGCCAGGGGGGCCAGCAAGGAATCCAGCTATGCCAATTGCAGTGATTATGGCATTTCTGACATGCAAGCTTCCTTTCTTCCATAATATAACTGGGCTAGATGCCAGAATGGTCACCCGAATTTGTTTTAGCTTCCTACAGCAGGAAGGTGTGGTGCAATCCCAGTTCTGCTAACTATAAGATTTTTCTCTTTAGGGCGTGTATGTTTCTATGCATCTGATACTGTCTAACCGATACTCCGTTAACTAGTTATTATGGGCTATTACTCTGCAATTTGTTGATCAAAGATATGGCTGGACAAGCGAGATGGCTTTATAAACTACGGTAGTCAATTGCATTAGAGATGCAGAGGGCATAGGATTATAATAAAAAAAATAAGAGTGCTCTGGAGCAGCTTTTAATCCATTAAATAGAATTTCATCCTGTTTGCCGGTCAAAACTTTTCCAGTAACTACTTTTCAGTCAAGCTGGAATGAAGGAAGGTAAAGCAGAATCAAACACATTCTCAGTCTGAGGGAGCCGGTGGTGTAGTACAGTTGTCCTCGACTTAAGACCACAATTGAGCCCAAAATTTCTGTTGCTAAGTGAGATATTTGTTAAGTGCGTTTTGCTCCATTTTATGACTTTTTTAGCCACATTTTTTAAGTGAATCATTGCAGGTGTTATGTGGAAAGAAAAATCTTCATCAGGGTCCAGTCCAAACTGGGAATAATCAAAATGGAGACTGCTTTAGAAAGAAGGTTGCAGTTTATTGAAGAGGAAAGTGAGACAGAAAGATGGCTCTGGGAAAACTGACCACATGTAGCAGGGAGTGGTGGGCTTTTATACCTTTTTGGACTTTGTATTTTGATTTCTTCCTGTTTGAGGCTTTGTATTTCCTTTGTCATGTACTTTGACCTGAGTCTGAGAGTGTCCTTTTGGTATTGGTGGGTTAATCCTATTATGCCTCAAAGGTCATATCTTGCTTCCCTGGGGCTGATGGCTGATGAGTGTTGGATTTTTTTGGTGTGAGGGATTGTTGATTCTAGGGATCTTTATCTTTCTAATCCCAGATTCCTGGCTCTAATCTTTTTGACAAGATTATCACATCTGCATTTCTGCAGACCTGGTTTCTGTTTGGGGCAGAGAGACTTTGAGGGGCGGGTTGGTTTCTGCCTTTAAGATCCTTTGGGGAAATATAATACTCTGCCTTTTAATATTCCCAAAAATATTTCTTTCTCGGAGGGGGGCTGATTTCCCACAGTTAGTAACACGGTTGTTAAGTTAATCTAGCTTCCACATTGACTTTGCTTGTCAGAAAGTTGCAAAAGGGGATTACATGGTCCCAGAACACTGCAACAGTCATGAGTCAATTCCAAGTGTCTGAATTTCGATCACATGACTGTGGGGATACTGCAATGGTTGAGTGAAAAATGGTAATAGGTTAGTTTTTTTCAGTGCCATTGTAACTTCAAACGGTCACTAAATGAACTGTTGTAAGTCAAAGACTGCCTATAGAAACCAAGAGATTCCGAGTTCTACTCCTACTTTAGGACTTTGGGCCAGTCCTTCTCTTTCAGTCCAACCTACCCCAGGGGGTTGTTGTTATGAGGAAAATAGGAGGAAGAAGAAATATTATGTATGTTCGCTGCCTTGAATTACTTATAAAGTAACAAAGGTGGGATTAAAAAAAATAATAAATAAAAGAAGAAACAGAGGTCTGGCTTAAATGGAATAATATAAATTCAGCGACTTTTTCCAACCAAGCTAGTGGGTGAGGGATGAGAAATGAGCAGAAGGCCACTGACTAATTGTGGAGCTTATCTGTAATGTTTGCAAGTGAGGAACAGAGACTGCATCTTCTAGGAGCCTGCTCACAGATATTCAATAGTTGTTACATTTGATCTATTATATACCAAGATTTGGCTTATCTCTATCTAGAGCGATAATACACAAAAGACACATTGATTAAATCTTTCATATTCAGAAAGAGAGCCAAGGTCAGCAGTATAGCTGTTTAAAAAATTGTAACATTTTTAAAAATCCTCTTCACTGACAAAATACTCCATCTCTAAAAGAAATCACATTTAACAATTTCTACGGGTTTTCTCATGTGATCAGTCATCCACCATATGACTAAAGAAACTGACTAAAGAAATAGCAGCAGTATTGAGATATTAAACCCACCAGGGCTTAGTCCAGCATTCCTGACCCTGAAATCATTCCATAATTCCCAGTTGTTGCAGTTTCTTCACTCAGGATCATAACTGTTTTCCAAATCACTATAAAATTGTAATTAAAAAATTAGGAAAGTTGTTAGTTTATTCTAAGTAAGAAGATCAAAATTCAAAGAAAAAAGTACTTACAATAACATTTTTTTTTGTTCTTTTCATGCACACAACTGAAATTTTTTTAGACTCTCTGAATTAAAAATATGCACATGATAGAAGAAACAGTTCAGTTCCCCCCGACATTAAGATTTCCAGATATAGAATAGAGCTTACATTTTCCATTAACCATAGAGGTCACTGATGACTTCCAGCGTGTCATTCTCTTTCAACCTAACCTACCTCACAGTATTATTAAGATTAAAATTAGGGAAGACCCCATGCAATCAATAAAGAAACTTCCACCAATCAGACAGTATATGCAAGAGTCAGAAATATCTGATGTATAACAGAACCGGAGGCATGAAGTAATTATGAGGGAGGTTACATCCAAGGGAGAGTTGTGATTTGCAACTTGATTTTAGAAGATAAATAATAGCACGCAGGTACTGAAGAACTAAATATGCCTAACCCGATATCGTAACGGAGTAACACATTATGCTGCAACATTTACAGTCTAGTCGTTCCCAAGTTTATTTTCACTGTAGATCCCATTATTAGGCATGCACCCTTTTAAAACTGCTTTTACATTTATTTTCAAGGATGATGGGGATTGTAAATCCTAGCCTAGACAAACGGAGGTTGAAAGGCTGCAGGGCAAGCAGCATCCCTAAAATCGAGCAGCTAACAAACAAGCAAGATTATTAAAGTATTTATAATCGTCTTTCCAAGCTGGCTCGCTTCGGATCAAACTTCGCCTTTGGCTCTTCCAGTCAAATCCTCTCTCCCCCCCCCCCCCCCGCTCCGAAGGTTTAGATGAGTCAGTGTCAGCAGACGGGCTGGGCTGGGGGAAACTGAAAGAAGACACAAGCGCGCAAGCGCACATCGGGAAAACTTCGAGAAAAGGAAAAGGGACAGTCGCGCTTTCCTCCCCTTTCTCGCCACTAAGCTTGCGCAACGACCACAACGCTTCGGAGGGCCGGCTTCTCCCTCGATCGCCAATCCCCCGCGGCGCACGCGCAGTAGCCGCGTCCCACCGGAGCGCCGGGGTATAAAAGCGGCCATCAGCTGAGCGCTCCCGCATTGCAGGCGGCGGAACTGCTGACGAGAGACCCTCACAATGCGGCGCTTCGCTTTCCTCCTCTTCCTCTGCTCGCTGGCAGCGGGTAAGCGCGGTCAGGCCCCGCGCCCTTGTTCGGTTTCCGATGGCGGGACCAGGGAGGGTGGACGCCGTGGAGGGTTGGGTCTCGCGCCCAAGCCGCGCTGGCCCGAGGGGGAAAAGGCCCGTTATGGCTGAGACCGAAGCTCTGTTTCCACGGCCTGGGCCTTCGCGGGATTAGGCGCCCCAAAACTCGGCCAGCCGCTCCCCTGCGGCCCGGCTTTCAGTGCCTTGGGACCCCCCCCCCCCAGACAAGGGGAGCCCCTCGATGACCCTCGGCCGGACTTGGGCTGGGAGTGTGGGGATTGCCGGCCGGAGGGCACCGGGCCGGAAAAGCGCCCAATCCTTCCTGGCCAACACGCAGAAACTGGGCTGCCGGTCCTTTGGGCCTGCCTTCGCTGGAGTCCCGGGGCTTGGCTGGGCGGTGTTTTTGTTTACCAGAGGGAGAGAGAGAGGGCGTCGCCTTGCTGACGACCCTTTCCTTAGTTACCAGGAGCTGCCGTCCTTCCGCATCGCGGCTGAAATCCTAGGCTTTCCTGCCCCCTTAACTCGTCTTCCTTTGGGGGCCGTTCATTTTCTTTCTCCCCGCTCTTTAAAAACCCCCCTCCCTAAATTAGAATAGTGTCAAAAATTTAGCTCGGGGGTAGCAATTATCCCAATAACCATGGGTGGTGTCTCGGGTGTGTGGTGTGTGGTGTGTGGTGTGGGTGGGTGGGTGGAGAAATCGCATAGCTGGCTGTTAATGGCTTTTGTCAGTTTCTTTGTCTCACTTTTGCGGTTGTATCACTCAGCCGACTTCTGAACACAAGGACGTTGGTTCTCTCTTGTCATTCATCTCCTGAGTACCCAACTTCCCTGTGTTCTTTTAAGGCAGTGGTTCTCAACCTGTGGGTCGGGACCCCATTTGGGGTCGATCGACCATTTCATCGGGGTCGCCAAGCAAGGCTGTCCGCCATTTTTTTTGTCCGCCATTTTTCCCCCCTTTTCCGGCGGGTGCCTTACCTCCCTTGGGCTGGGCCAGCTGGTGGTCGGCCTGCTCCGTCTCTGCCGCTTGCCAGCTATGCCTCGGCCAGCGCAGGGGGCGGAACCACACATGCGCGGCGCTCCCAGGCAGGGAAAGTCCTCGACTTACGACCGGTTGGGTAATCCTCGACTTATGACCGGTTTAGTCCTCGACTTACTACCGGTTTAGTCCTCGACTTACGACCGGTTTAGTCCCCGACTTACGACCGCTTGGGGTCGCGGCATTAAAAAGGTTGAGAACCACTGTTTTAAGGCAAAACTGTGGAGTTTGTTGGTGGTTCACCTCTTCTTTAGGATATTTTTTTTTCCCCTGTAGATAAGAAGGGGACCTAAATGAGGAAGATACTGAGTTTACTCAATAGGTGGATAGTCTTTGCCAGCCACATAACAGAGCTGAGGAATTGTTTTACTCAATCCTCTACTACAAATTGTTTCTTGGTGTTAGTGCAGTTTTTCCCGATGAAAGCTAATGTAAAGATATTCTAAATAAAATATGTGGAAGAGCAGACTATGGAGTACTTGTATAGCACTGAAGTTGGGAATTGGGGGCATTTGAATTGTTGCTACATTGGAGTTTTATTCCATTTTGGCATATTGACAACCAAAAGGGGTGGGGAGGATAAGTGTATTGAATAGGAATAGAATAGAGCTGGAAAGGGACCTTGGAGAGGTGTCCTAATCCAGCCCCCTGCTCAAGCAGGAGAACCTATACTGATATGTTCAAAAAATTGCCCTGGAGGATTGCTAACCATAACTTACCTAATGTTTGTGTCTACATCATTAATTATTTCAACCCTGCAGGTGATTATTACTCTGATTCAGTAATCCTTGAGGTGATGAAACCTAAATGATTGCACTCCTATCCCTTAATTGTATCACCCACAACAATTCTGTGAGATAGGTTGAGAGAGTTAACAAGCCTAAAGTCATTCATTAAACTCCCGTGGTTGTATGAATCTGGTTGGTCCTGGAGTACACTCCAAGGAAAAGCTGAACTGCTTAATCATGTTTTTTTAAACATTCAACTAGGCATATAGTATTTAGTAAAATATAATGAACCACTTGAGAGTCAGTTTGCTGTAGTAGTTAAGGTATCGGGCTAGAAACTGGGGAATAGTGAGTTTTAGCCCTGCCTTAGGCACAAAGTCTGCTGGATGACCTTGGGCTGATCACTTTCACATGCTATTCCTCAGATTAACCACCTACATATTTTATCCATTTTGAGCAAGATTAATATACTGCTCAAAAAAATAAAGGGAACACAAACCCCTTCAGTTCCATGGTAAAATGTTCCCTTTATTTTTGTGAGCAGTATATATTCCTAATGAATATGAGCCAATACATTTTCTCATGTCCATAGAAATACAAGATATCCTTATTGGCAGTATGTCTTTTTTTTTTGTCTTTAAGCTTAGATTTGTCAATTGTAAATACTGGGGAAAAACATCCTGGAATTCAACTTGATTAGTTCTTTGTTATTGTTAAGAGATTCTTGCATATTATTCCAATCGTATCACGCTGGCTATTGACCTGTAACTTTTCAGTTATGGTTGGAGTGGCAACAGATGCAGTCAAACATGTTGGTACTTATCCTATTTTTCTCCACATAATTCCAATTTGCTAAGCAATAAGTTGACACTGACCCAAATAAACAATCCACCATTCTTCTATACTTCACAGAGAGCAGACTCCAATCTTTTCATGTATGACTTAACATACTCTTGTAAATAACAAATGAACATGGCATGGGCATAATTATTGGTATTCCCAACCTAATATTTTTGCAGCACACCCTTTTGAGACAATCATATACTTTCTATAGCTCTGAATAAAAGTCTTCTCAATTGGCAATTTGTTCCATTCATCTTGAGCAAATTACTCCAGTTGTCCTAAGCTTGTTCCTTCTCCCAACTGTGAGTTTCAGATTTTTCCCTAGATGTTCTGTTGGATTCAGATTGGGACTTGTAGCAGGTGAATTTAGAACAGTCCAATGTTTGCTTTTCAACCATTTTTGTATGTTTTGAGTCATTTATCCTGTTGGAAGGCACATACCTGTGACAGAGCTTTCTAACAGTGGCTATTATGTTTTGATCCAAAATTCCTGGCTAATCTTGTGAGTTCGTTGTGTCTTATACAGATTTAAAGCACTCAGTGCTGGAAGCAGCAAGGCAAGCCCATAACATTATGGCACTTTTCTATATTACACAGTAGGGATGGTGTTATTTTCTTTAAGAGCATTGTTTTTTTTTCTTCTGTGAACATAGAGCTGCTGTGATTTACCCAAAACGTTTTATCTGTCCAGAGGACATTGTCCCAGAAGTACTGTGACTTGACAATTTATATTTTAGCAAACTCCAGAATGGCTTCTTTTATGTCTGACTTTCAGAATTGGGGTCTTCTATCATGGATGCCACTTTCAATCAGATGGCAACAGATAATATGACTTGATAATATCCCTATTATTAGTATGACTATGACTACTAATAATGTCTGTTATTAGTCTGACTATTCTGTTCAACCTGGGATCAATTTTCCTCTTGCAGCTCCATCTAGGGAGATTAGTTATGGTTCCATGGACCTTAAACTGCTTGATAATATTAGTAGCCATGGTTGCAGGAACATGAAACTCATTGATAATCATTTTGCAGCCTTTACCGTTGTGGGCTATCATCTTCTCCTTTTCTCCCCAGACATCTTTCTTCTTTTCTTTCTATTGTCCAGCCACCCAAAATGGCTGATTGAATATTTTTCTCCTGATAGGCTGAATGATTGACTGATTTGAAGTCACCTATGGCACTAATTGAAAAGTCTTCTTAAAAGATCACTAAAATAGAATAATCTCTTTTTAACTTCTAAGAAGTGCCAAAAATAGTGTCCATACCATTTTCATTCATCTTATTATTTACAGGAAAAAAGTTATGCCATATTTAAGCCTAGTAAAAAAAATAAATAGCATGAAACTGTAATGAAATGTAATGCAGGCATGTCCAACCTGCGGCACTGGACAGCTACTAATGCAACCCCACAAAATTGTAATTTTTTAAAAAATAATACACTTTATTTTTTATATATACATTAACTGTATTGTATATTTTATATGCGGCTCAAGATAATTCCTCTTCCTACAGTGTGGCACAGGCAGGCCAAAAGATTGGACATGCATGATCTAATGCATTCTAATGCATTTATTTTCAGCTGTTTTGACAACTCCCCTGCTTTTGAAGAAAGACTGTGCAAAAGGTTCAGAGGTATGGTGCCAGAATTTGCGAACTGCATCTGATTGCAAAGCAGTTAAACATTGTGAGCAAAATGTGTGGAACAAGCCTACTGTGGTAAGTTATTTTATTGCTTTGCTCATGATTACAGCTCTGTTTTTGCAGCTTGCCAAAGAAGTTTTCTTCTGCATGTAGACAGGAGCTGAACGTTGGTGAGATGGAGTAATGGAGCTCAGATCCCGAATACCTGAGTTCTGTTTCTGTACCCCACCGAAGGCATTGCTGTCCGCACCCTGAGGAGAGATCTCCTAGAGATCAGAATGAGCTGAAACTCAAGCAGTGAGTTGGTAGGCAGATAAGGTCAGCAGTGCAGGGTGCCTCAGGTGGGTGGAATAAACACAGGAACATCTTTTCTTCAGGGGCTGAAAATCCTACTTGAATTTTTCTAAACCTTCTGCTGGCACCCCACACTCCTCCCTGGAACTATGCTTAATGATCTGTGTCATTGTTTAACAACTGCAACCAGGAGTGCCAGGATTGCATTTGAATCAGTCACATGACATCTTGCTTAACTGTTGCTTTGCTCAATGATTGAGATTCTGTGCTCAGTTATCACAAGTTGAGGACTACCTGTAATAACCCACACTCAGTGTAGCCATAATTCCTCAAAAATAGATTCTAAAACTTTGAGATACAATGAAACATATTTAATATGAAAGGGTTCCTCATCATTGTGCTTATGTATGTATGCTAAAATACTATTCCAAGTATCGTAGTTTTTTTTCATTGTAAGCAAGAAAATCCGACACCCATCCTTTCAGATAAATTCTTTAGAGTATCAAGAAGAAGACTCGAACAGAATAGAATTAACTTGAATCTTAAATTCAGTAAAATCAATTTGACATTTTTTAAAGATCTGCGACAACTGTTGTTCTGTTACCGGCTTTTCCGGTTCTTTAATCCATAAATTAAAAGTATCATTAATGGTGAAAATGAAAGTACTCCTTAGTTTTTGATACAAAAGATTTTCTGGGTTTAGTTTCATCTCCAGAGATGAAAGCACCTCATGGCTCTTGGCAGCAGCTAAAGAATCTGATCCTTCTTGAACTATCAAGATGTAGTTTTATTGACGGACATAAGTCATCCTTGTTAAGTGACTGCCTCATTTTGCAACTAATCATAGTTGCAGTGGTGATGAAAAAGTAACCTTGCAACTAACCCTTACCCTTTGTAACTTTTTCAGGTTTGTAAAGCAAAGATTAGCTGCAGTGAGATTGTAAGCAGAGATGTAGAGTCACTTAGTGATTGCTTCATTTAACAACCAATTTTCTGGTCCCAAATGTACTTGCTAAATGAGGACTATCTGTATTTCAGATTCTGCCCTTAGTTTTCAGTATAATATTTCTCCCCTATTTTTAAAGCAGAGTTCTCCATTGACATGTTTGTGGTCCTCAACATCAGCATCCAGTCCATAGGTTAATTATTACCATAATTTCTGACATTAAATTATGGGAATACAAGATTGCAGTTGTTTGACAGTTCAGGAAACTTAATATTACTAATATAGTTATGTACAATATTATACTTTGAATTTTATAAGAAAATAAAATTGTAGCGTAGCTTCTATAAGAACTAATAAAATATAGTGTGTAAAATCTAATAATTGTAACTAATCAGAGCTTCTGTACTGGAATCAAACGGATACTGAAGATTTTTTTTCCACAACCAAAGACGGTCATGTAAAATATTTAATGGGAAAACATAGAAAAAAGCAAATTGCTTACTGAAGAATGCAGCCATATGTTTTGGCTGTACAGACTTGCACACAGAGTCATTTACAAAAAGACTTGGGCAGACAAGAATTATATTGTGATCAGTGAACAGTTCATGGAAATGGCCTAAATGGCTATCACACCAAATTTTGCAACATTATATGTAGTAAAAATAGTTTTTTGTTTTTTAGCAATAGACTGATACAGAATTTCTCTGGTCAGATGGATGCAGCACGAATTGTCCAATAGACTTGTGGTAGTTTTTGTAAAAAAAACAGTGGATAGTGTTTGCTGTTATTCCAGCCCATAAGGGCTTGCATTCCTTATAAAGGATGTTTTGGGATCTGCCCTGATTAGTTTAAAGACATTTATCAAATCTTTGAGTGAAAACTCTTCTGTGTTTAGGAAAGGGCATTTGCCCCTTGTGTATCAACTTCCCTCCTAGGTTCCTCTGTTTGAGACCCTAGTTTGGGCTGGCTAGCTACATCTTCAATTCTTAATGTTACTTTTGCTTGCTCATGGCCCAAGGAAAATAAAGATAAATGAAGAGCAAAACTACAGCTAGATTGAAAGTTGCCAGAAAAATAAGTGATTTTTTTTTCAACTAATAGTTGCTAATTGTTAGCCAAGCTCTTGTTTCATGCTTTGAAGATCAAACTTCAATCATAAAATAGCACATGAGACATATCTAGGCAGCTGAAAACTTGTTCTAAAGCAGTGGTCTCCAACCTTTCCGGCTCGGCAGATAGGTGAGGGAGGGGTGAGGGTTAGGGTTTCATGTGCACACGCTACTTTCACAAATGCAGCTGCATATGCACATCTGTGCCCTCCCACCACTTCTGTGGCCCAGTTCCGAACAGGCTGTGGCCCAGCACTAGGTTGCAGGCTGGGGATCCTTGTTCTAAAGAACTTGTGAACTTCTGCCAGGTTGTGTACCATAGAGAACCTGGCCAGGGCTGGTACACTTACATTAATATGTATCAGCTCTTGTATGTAGAAAATAACAATCAACATAATTGCTAAGTTCCTTGAAGTGCCAATATAAGAAGTTCTATTTTTTGGTTTTTATTTATTTTATTTTTATTTATTTATTTCTACACCACCAATCTCACCTAATGATTCTCACAGCTTACAACATAATAAAACCATATCAATACATGAATAAAAGCATATATTAAGAACAGAATTAAAAAGAGGTTAAATTCCAAATAAAGATAAAAATCAAGGTACGAAATTCAAAAAGTCAGGAAGTTAACAAGAATAGTAGAAAGACTTTAATTTATTCCCTCTTTTATACATTTATTTATTTATTTATTTATTTATTTATTTATTGTATTTATATCCCGCCCTTCTCCTTTCGGACTCAGGGCGGCTGACAAATGATAAAAAGCTAACATATTACACCTAGTTAAAATTTGATTAAAATGAAATATTTGAGAATGTCAAATTTAAAAGTAATTAAAACCCCTATAAAATCCCCTAGGCCAGTCCCGCT